GCCAAGCGATGATATAAAGAGAACAGTTCAGTCTTTTGAGCTTGAGCCATAATCCTTTGTACCAGAGCTGGTTAAAAGCACTTTTAAAATCTATAAATAAGGCAGCTGTAGCAGTATTAAGAGCTAATCCTTGTCCGAGTTGATTAATAATTGATACTATTCTGGTAGACATGTTGTGCCCTTGCCGAAATCCCGTTTGTTCTTCAGGGAAAATACCAGCATCAGTAATCCATTGACGAAAAACCATAAGAAATATTTTTTCATACAATTTGGAAAAACATGGAAGTAATGAAATAGGACGAGTATCATTGATGTCCACAAATGAAGATTTAGTTTTTGACAACAATTTCATTTTTCCTGTTAGCCAGTGTTGAGGAAAGCATACATGTTGCGCCATAAAATTAAAAGAAGAAGTGATAAACGTGAGATGAGATAAAGAGTGGATGTGGCTGTGGCTGTGGCTGTGGGTGTGAATGATAAGAACACGCACACGCACACCCACACCCACACCTTAGAAAGTATTCGTGTTAAACGAAATTTCCTTACCGATGACAATTGTTATGTTGCAACTTGTTTTCGATGAAAGAAAATTCTGGTAATGGAAATAATTGATATGGTTCAATCAGTTTATTTCTCAGCATAAGTAATATAGAAAAAGTATCATTTGAAAGAGATGAAAATTTAATTATTATGATAAAAATCATCAAATAATTCAACTATTCAATGATGAGAAAAGAATAGATATGAAAATACCTCCATGATTGACGTGCTACTATGTTGCTATTGAATTGGTCTTGCAGATTTACTAAAAACCAAACGAAAAAAAAAATTTGATCATCATCAGTATCTTTTTTATCCATACTTTTGTCTTGATTGGGTTATTTCATATCTGAATTATTTAGAAATATTTCAATCGAGTTAACAAGATCATTTTCTATAATCAATGTTCGATTATGATTAACAGTTGATAAAATAATTTTGTCTGATTCTTTATTATTAATATTTATAAATGAAATTTCTGAGCTAGCAGTAAAACTATGTTGAGCTCTATCAAATAAATTTTGCATGTGACCCTAAAGATGTTTCAAATCAGCATTTTTCAATGAGATAGTTATTGGATCGATGGATGATAAGATCGAAAAAGAAAAATCTCGATGATCATCAGTCATTCTTTTTTCATCAGAACACAAAAATGATGTTTTTTTTTCTTTTTTGGATAGATAACAATTAGTTAATCGAAACATCCTTTTGAATTTTATTTTTTCTCGCTATATATTACTAAATGTTTTAGAATGACCATAGATAAAAAATAAGAAAACAAAAAGCAAAAAGACCTGAAAGCTTTTCTTGACAAAATATTTTGTTATCGAGGTGAAATCTTCATCCACATTCCATATTTTGGTCTAGAAAATGGTATTTGTATAATTATTTTTTCTAAATTAAACACAAAATAAATCTAACCTTAGTGTAACAAACATATCTGGAACATGTTTTTGACCAGGTATAAGTTCAAAACGAAATTGTTTAATAATCATTGCTAACATAATTTTTGCTTCTAACATAGCAAAATTTTGTCCAATACATGAACGAGGTCCACTTCCAAATGGTAAATGTATATCAAGATGACGTTCATTGAATCTTGATGGATCAAATTTAAATGGTTCATGCCAATATTCTTCGGAACTATTTTATTATTTTAATAAATATATAAGAATGAATAATATTTACTTACTGATGAAGAGTATATAAATCAATCCAAATATCAGTTCCCTTTTTAATGAGAATATGTTTTCCATCACTAGCAATTAAAGTATTATCTTCAATTGCTTTACGAATCAATGATGGAACAGATTGATGAAGTCGTAATGTTTCTTTTAATACAAGCTCTGTATAGATTAGAAGAGAAAGTGTTGATGCTGTTATTTCTTCATTATCATTCAATACGGAGTCAATTTCTGTTTCTAATTTATGACATATATCAGGATTATTGGCTAAATTGTATAGTGTCCAAGTCATTAAGGTTGCTGTTGTTTCATGACCAGCAAGCACTAAATTATGAAATCAAATTTTTTAGAATATATTATGATCTTAATTATACCAAAAGTTAAAGCTTCTGCAAAGACTTCTTCATCAGTTAATTTACTTGTTTTATCATTTCCATGTGCAGATAAAAGTAAATCAAGTAAATCTGGTCCTATATAAATAAATATGTCACAAATCAAATCCTAAACAAATAAACCAAACCTTTGCATGCAGATTTAGTAAATCCTTTTTTTCGTTCATCAATGATGTGTTTTACAGCATGTCGAATGCTCTCTTTTGATTTATCAATTCGTCTTTTACTTGCTAATGGTAATCGATTAATAATTGGAATAACACCAATCATATTAAATGTTCTTTCTTCAATATCTTCTAATGATTTGGTAAAACCTTGATAAATAGTTTCTCGTATATGTTCATCTTTCATTAGTCCACTTCCAAAGACACATCCAGTGACAATATCTAATGTTAAACCTGTCATTTCTTTATGAATATCAAGATTTAATATATTATCTTTATTATTTGCATTATTCATAGTAAATGACCATTTATTAAGAAAATTAGATGTTATTTCAACAATAAATGAAATCATAGAATTTAGATTTTGATGTTGAAAAACAGGTGCAATAAGTCGGCGATGTTGTGCATGAATATTATCTTCAGCCATTAAAAGATTTTCAAATCCTAAGAGTCCACCGAGAATAATTTGGATTAAAACAGATTTATGATAAGCACGAGCATTTGTTTTTAATACTCCTTGAATTAATAAAGGATCACTAATGACCAATCGAGCTAGAGGACCAAATGATGTATGATAATAACTACCAAATTTCTTTGTCATTTCAATATTATAAGATATTGGATCATCAGCAAGAACAGCACGACGCATCCTAAAAGCTTCACCAACTATAGGTATGTATCGTCCAGGAATTCCTTGTGCCCACAAATCTTTGTGAATACCCCATGGATCAAATATCCAAAATTTCAATAAACGATAAATAACATATAGAAATACGACGATTGTAAAAATAGAAAACCACATTATTGTTACTTAGAACAGAAAAGCAAATGACACGTGCTTTGATAGTTTGCTTAGAAAAAAAAAAGACAGTCGATAAAATGCGTTCTCCACAGGAGGGGAGTATTAATTTAGAAGGTCGAAGAACAGCAAAAATAATCATTCGTTTGTGTTACTCCGATGTTAATATGACGTCATATGATATATTCTTGTCTGATAATGTTACCAACTCGATATTGCTTACGAGAAAAGTACTCCAATTGTTTAAGAGCTTTTTATTTCACTTTCTGGCTATAAGTAGAACTCAGTAAGACTTACAAAAACTATAAAAGCGATAATGCCCATAGCTCTTCCTATCCAAGATATGATCAAATGTATATAAAAAAATTTGGTTTTTGTCATTTTTTTATAGAAAAGAATCGTTTGTCTGTGAATCTAAATGTTTCAAATATTAAACATAACCATTCAAAAAACTCGATCACGGGCGCTAATGTAACTAAATCTCAAATATCAAATCAACTGAATTATAAAGTACTGAAGATTTACTAATACATAACCTGCCCTCAAATACTTTCATTTATGTATTAGAAACATAATTTTGTCTAAACTTATTTCTTTTGCGAATCATCTCTAGCCGACGAAGATAGATGTTCAACTCCAAGTTTCATCTGTTCTTCATAGTACCAAAACGTATTATGTTTTCATTGCTTCTACATAGATTACCAAGATGATTAGATGAATTACTATTGCTTTTTCCATGCTTGTGGCTGCACCTAAATATTACATACTCTTTTTTAGCTTCTCAAAGATGAATGAAAATATTTAATACCAAGTAATTTACTAGTAAATATAGGACTTTATAATTCAATTGATTCGATATTTGAAGTTTAGAAACAGTTGTGCCCATGATGGAGTTTTTGAACGGTTATTTTCAATACCCGAAATACTTTGACTCACAGAGAAATGTTTTTTTTCTTTACAAAAAATGATAAAAACCCAATATTTTTATACAAGTTTGATCATATCTCGGGGCATTTTGACGTTTCGTCGTTACTTTTCATTCCGAACATCCAATGTCGTAGTCCGTTCCGAACATCAGTTGTCTTCAAAAAATCATCACTTTTATGAGAAAAATATCGGATGTTCGTTAAAATTTTTAATGGATGTTCGGAACGGCAGTGACACCCACATTTCTGTGTGAGGAACTGTATAATTTTAATGGATGTTCGTAAAGAAAACTATCGGGTGTTCGTAATCAAAATATAGAGATGTTCGGAACAGCAATAGACGGATGTTCGTAAAACTTTACATGGGAGTTCGGAATAGAAAATGAGGGATGTTCGAAACGGGAATTTGCTTCTTTTATTGATGCAGCACTTTAATTCTAGTTAACCGATGTTCGGAATGCTCTTCTCTTCATAGTACACTACTCAGTATGTTAGGCACGTAGTTACAGATGTGAAAGTGTGTAATGAATTACAAACTCCTATTCACTCGTATTCGAGGGTGGTTCAGCAGAGACTACTTCACTATCAACACTCTCTGGCTTATCTACTTGCTTTGTCTTTTCATTATCAGAAATAAATGAGTTTTATTGAACAAAGAACAATATTCACAGATAGTAAGTCGAACTCTTAAGAAATACAATGACAAAGATAGAGAAATATTTCAATAACGAATAAATAACAAAAAACAGTCAATTTCTATTACTTCTTCTCCAGACACAAACAAGCAGAGATAGGCTTTTTTAGCGACAGATATTTAGAAAAAAAAAAGAATAAACTTTTCAATTAAACATCACAAAACTATATACAGTTAATGAGAGAGAAGAGTCGCCGGTGCACTTTAATATTCACTTGTTTGCTACTGTCTTTGCTGCGCCGGCTGCTGAATTTTTTTGATTTTTTTGAAGAACTAAAGCGAAACGAAATAAAAAAAAGTGTTACGAGCCATTGAAGAAGAGAGTCACTAACCCGCCATTCAAACCATAGTCATCTAAATCTTCATTCTTTCTTTTAGTATCGACAGCTTTCTTTGCTTCTGTTGAAGATTTTGCTGCTGCACCATTTCCACTGCTCACTTTCGTCGTTGCTGTTGATGTAACAGCCACTGGTTTTCTTTGTCGTAGACGTTGATAGACTGGTGCGAGACGTGTACCATTTGTTTTCACATTAGCGATAGTTGCTGTTGTTACTGCTGCTGGTTCGTCTTCTTCACTTTCGCTATCAGAGCGAGAGACTGACGAGGATAGTTCAGTACTTGCACCGTTCTTTTTCTTTTGACTAGCAACATGTTTTATTGTTGTCTTCTTCGTTTTATCTTTAAGTACAAGTGATTGCGTTGAAGTCATTGGTGCTGTCGTTGCTTTAGCTTTGGCTGGCTGTGTCAGACTAAAAAACATAAGAAACAAAAGGAAACAAAATTAATTTATATCTGGGTACTCGTTCCGAACATCCGTTAAGGTACGGTGTTCTCGAGAAATACAAGAACTAACCTTCGTACAGCAACTTTTTTTCACGTTTATCATTTTTCTTCTTCTTCTTCTTCTGATCATCTTCGTCTTCCGTTTTCCTGTTGTTTCCAACAGCCGATGCTGCATTTGACTGAGCACTAAATAACGGAAAAACATGGTTAAAGATTTGGAAGAAAGATCGGAACGACTATTCCTTTCGAATTCTTATTCAGAACCAAAACTAACCCTGTATTAATAAGAGAATTGCTGCTTATTGCTGAAGTACTTATCGATTTTGATGGCGAAGCTGAGCGTGAGACTAAAGACGGTGTTGGAGTGACATGTTTTGTTTTCGTTGCTGGACGAGATTTTCGATTTGTGTGGAAGGAGCTTGACGACGATGAGGAAGAAGATGCAGCGGACGAAGCAACCGGAACAGTATAAGCACCACCTTTTGTCTTCATCGCCGTTGACTTGACGCCTGTTACACCCAATCTTGTCACGTCAATCTTGGTTTTTGATTGAGTCTGAGAAATTAAAATATTAGCATTGATTGTTCGACTAACCAGCTCTTGACGTTCTCGAGGAACGAAGAGATTAGCACCGACAACAGCTTTCATGAAATCTTTAACAATTGGAGGTTCACCGTTATTTCTCATTCATTCTAATCCAGATATCAGAAGAAATGCAATCTCCTGTTCATTTGTTAACATTTTAAAACGTCCTTAAAGAAAGAAACAATAAATATTTATTAAACTGACACTCGTACCGAAAGTACTTACCTAAATTTCGACCTTTCGCGATTTGAACATATAAATCAATTTGATCAGCACTATCACGCACAGCCAAATATCGTCGAAAAGAATCAATTTGTTGACCATTAGGTTTCTCGAAGACGCTTTCGGCTGATTGACCAACAGCATTAGCATTCGGCCAGTTATTCTTATCTCGTATACATTCAACAAGACGATCGTGTAGAACGAGATTGTCAATTGATGGATAAACCTTCTCATAAGCATCATCTTGTAAGAGATGACTGACTAATCCATTTAAAGAATGAAAAATAAAAGAGTCTTTCAGAGCGCTAGATTCGATCGAAACTTACCGTAAGATTTCACTGCTACTGTTGCATCAGCCTTAAAAGCTAATTCATAATAAGCTGCTTTCGACATTGCTATGATTTGGATGTTTGTTCAGACAGTGAAAGATAAATTTGCGAAAACGATCTAAAACAAGAAAGAAAAAATTAGATGAGACATGGTTCCAAACGTTCGATTTTTCCAGCAGTAAATAAATAAGTGTTTATTCTTCTTTATACATAAAATTAAGAAAAGTAACATGCAAATAAAAAAAAAACATTTTAACTCTTCGTCTTCTCTTTTTTCTGCACAAAACGTTTTTCGAACAACTATCGACAACAAAGTAGAGACAGAGAGACTTACAAACGAAAAACAAGCACGGGTGTGGGTGTGGGGGTAGTGTATGGATGAAAAGACCATCAACACGCACACTCACACCCCCCCCCCCACCCCCACCCCACCCCCCCCCCCCCCCCCCCCCCCCCCCCCCCCCC